TATACACCGACACACGGCGTAATTCTGACTCGGCATTTTCCTCATTTGGTGTTGTACTGCAGATTAGTGTTTAAAAATGTATTATAATTTAAATTACAATAGAAACAAATAGATAAAATAAATGAATTACCTTTGCGAAAGATGTGCAAAAAGTCCATCTTTTCTAGCGACATGCGTGAAACTTGCAACCCATTTGATTAAAGCGACTTTACAGAGTACATAATTATTCTGATTTTGATTCATCGGTTTACGCATTGTGGGTAATTCCAAATTAGGTTTGTAAAGGGAAAAGTTGTCATTGAATTCCGGACAGATGTGACGAAGATATGCTACTTTAAAACGTTCTAATAAAAATTGAAAAGTTTTATGCTGTCGTGTAGATTTATCTCGCCATTCTACTTTTACCACCTGAAAATAACACAAACGTTAATCATTTTTATCGCGTTTTAACATTAAATAGATATCTATAAATATAGATCATAGAGAAATAAATTACATACCTGAGTAACCATAAATTCAAGCAATGCTTCCAAAAATCGAACAGTTTCATTATCGAGAGGTTTTTCTCCACTTTGCGGTGGTAAGATAGGCCCGCCATCAACTTGACTGATAGGACATTGATTTGATCCATTATCATGAAAAGTACTTTGCCCGAATTGCGTGTCATAAAATTCTCTCTTATCTTTCTCTTCAGAATTAGATGCTTTCGCCAGTTTTTCTTTCTTGCCATCTGTCTTACGATCACATTTATAAGGCGATGCTTGATGCGGTGGAAATCCTGGCACCAAGCTGGCGAACATCTGATGTATATGTTCGGGAGCATTTTCACCAAGAGCTTGATACCATAAAATGAAGTACCTAAAACATCATAATGGTGTTACACAAATAACAAGTAAATATAACATACATAAAAACCAAATAATATGCCTTAAATAAACAAAACTATATATACTGTGATCAGTTGTCATACCTTATAGCTTGTCTACGAAGTTTCCAACTATTACCAGGATGCAAGAGCTTCTGCAAAATCCGTGCTAAACTATGACACTGCCATCGTCTGTTAAGCAGCTCAGGAAGAAGAGTTAAAACTTTCTCCAGAAGTTGCAATACTTGTTCTAACTCTTCCCTGTGTGCCTTATGCACTATAAAAAAATATAGATTAGTTTTTTCCTATCTTTTAATCATATTACATAAGAAATATTTATGGCAAATATTATGATTAACATGAAAATGATATTTGCACATAAGTATCCATGTAAATGTAATTTAACTCATAAGACGTTAGTAATGGAAGAAATAATTAATGCAAATCAAGCTAAAGTAATATGATATATGACTTACCAATATGGAAGGAAAGCTCTGGCAGCAGAATGGGAAGAAATGAAAGAGATGATAATAAAATAACGAGTGAATATTATGGTTAATACAAAATTTATTATAATTTTGAAGGCAATGATATTATTTTGTAAAGTTATATAATTATGCGATATATATTAAAGCATGGAAATTTTCAAAGTTACAGCATTAGGACAGTTAGCTTTATTTAGTACATTACACTGTAATAACAATTTAGTTTGCAACTTACCGCGTTGCCGAAGATTTGCTTCGGCGGACACGAAGCAATCGTAAAGAATGAAGTACACATGGCTGAAGTTACCCTCAAAAAAGCCCTTTGCCTCATCAGTGTCCACATTTTCTTTAATATAAAAACAATAATGCGTGAAATAATATATGTTTATTATATAAAATATAAGATATTCATAAATATATCATCATTGATTAAATAGAAAAGAAAACTGTTTCCAGCAATGTCAAAAGTAACATAAATACAAAAAAATTAAGTTTCTCAAAAAAAGAAAATTCTTTTTTAACTTGATGGAAAATTATTAACTAATCAATGATATTAAAATGATATCAATGATATCAATGATATTAATTATTAACTAATCAATGATATTAAAAAATATATATTCATAATATGAATATATATTTATCCCATCAAATCTTTTTTTGTCAATTTTATTTCACAATCTTTTAAAAAACCATTCTCTTTGAATTGTGATGTTTTGACAATTTCTCTTATGAAGTTTATTCTTGATGATTAATAGAACAATATTTACTTAACACTAAAAGGAACGAGGCCAATGGCTCTTCGCGAAATTCAAACTAATATAACTTTTTTCAATTTTTTTCCACGTAATATCCTTTTATGACTTTTCATCATTTTTCATGTTCTTAATTTTAGTAAAAAAAATTTTCAATTATATAAAATGATTGAACTTTTATTTAATTGTCTACCTAGAGAGCCTATTGGAGCCAAGTTGGCTCCTTTATCCAGTTCTTCTAGTGTTAACTCATTCTAGGTAATAATTAAAAAGAAATTTTTTGTATCGCTTTGGAAATACAAGAGTGATATGTCTTAGAAAAAAGTAGTGGAAATTCTATTACATCATAACTAATTCTAAGTATCTGTGCTTATATAATAGAATTCCTTTTCTTTTTCCTTATATGTGTATAAGAAAGAAGGAAAGAAAAAAATATGTAATATAGGAAGAAATATATTAGGTGTTGGAATTAATTCGTAGCGTTTTTAATGAAAGAATGTTATTTATTTCACATGAGCATTAAAAAATACATTAATGAAAGTACTTCCCATCACTTGTAAAACGCTACGAATTAATTCCAACACCTAATACAATACATGTTATAATATTTCAAAATAATTTACTGTAGTGAAGTAAATAAATCGAATAGAAATATTAGAATAGAAATATATGTGAGATATCAATATGTATGGCATTAGATACATATAGGCACATATTTGCAAAATATCTAAAGCTGTAGACTATTTTTATTAGTAGTGTGTATGTGTGTGAAAAGGACACATAAAACAACACATAATGCAACTTTGTAACTTTAGCTACAACAATGTAACTTTAGCTAGACATGGAGGCCACAGTTGGTCAATGTGGTCAGGCGGTTTGGTGATTAGATATTGACTACCTCTCTCATAACACTGCGAAACTATTATCTTGTAACTGCTTGGATTTAATTCTTTTCCTTTTTAAACTAGGATTCATTAATATATTATTAATATATTATTAATATATTTTATTAATTATTATAATCTTTTATTATAAAACCTGCTAAATAAAAAAAACTGCTAATTAGCTTTACTTTTAAGATCAGTTAAATATTATACAAAGTATATTTACTTTATATTTCATGAAGAGGTAAAAATATCTTCTAAAATCTGTATATAAAACTGAATTTTTTAAATTACAATGATATCTTTATTTATTAAAAATCTGCTTGCAAAAATCTCTCATTAATGTTAATTAAGGTCCACTTTGACCAAATTCTGATTAACTCAACAACTCAACTCATCTGTGCTATTTTGTTAACATAAATCAAACAATTAATTTAATATATAAAAAGTATAGATCAGGAATAATAACACAATTAAAAATTTTGCAGCAAGTAATTCTGATTAAATTAATCAAAGTTTTATTTAGTTTGGTCAAAGTCACTACAATGGTTATTTTTAATTTTCTATTTAACATATCAACATTTCTCAGGGTCATCTTCTATTTTTAAAGAAATCAAACGAGTTGTATGAAGTAAACAATTTTTCCTCAATAACGTAAAAGTAATGTTGTGTACTCTCATGTTCTCTCTCACTCTATATCTGAGAAATAAAAGCTGAAGATTCATTAAAGAACGCGATATGAGGCAAAATGAAGGCGGAACGAGAGATCCGCTACGAGAAACGTCCTCGTGGCTCGCAATTTGAGGCGTCTCCGCCAACACGCGTGGGAGCGAATAAATATCAGTGGTACCGCCTCGATTTCGCTATTATCATTCCGAGAAATACCTGACTCAGCCTATCGTGACCTGTCATCACCGACACGTCGTTGCCGTCGTGATCCTCACCTAGTACGATTTTAAGATGTTTGAACCGCGTCGCGCTGTCCTTCTTGACATCCTGGATCTTGAGCGTCGACTTCTTGACGTCTACATGGAGCTTCTTGCTGAACATGATTCAAGCCGCCGGCGGCCGCGGGGACAGGAACAATCATCGACGGCGACGCCCAGGACGGTCCGCGTCGATGCCCGGCTCCGGTTACCTCCGCGCGATCACCATGCCAGCGGCGCGAGGTGCACGATGCACGGCCCACCCGTGTCACGTCAAATCGGCGTCGAATTTCGCATACACACCTCCGATCAGATGTACGTGACGGCCATCTTGAGCGTCTAACTGGCCACACGCAAGCAGCGCTGCGCCCCTCAGTGGTACTTCGGGGCAATGACATCATCCGTCATCCAATTCCCAATTCTCAGAGAATTCGTTATGACTAATTATGATTACGTACGTTTCGTGCATTGTAAGGGACATTTTGAAATTTTGAACGCATCCCACGAAATAGAAAATTACCTATGCGACGTCTTTAGAATATTTTGTGTCCCGATTTATCATTATTGAAATTTTTTTTTTAATTTGATATCATTTCTTGACGCGTGTAACTTTGATCGATAATACAGTTTAATAATAATAATGTATATAAATAAAGATATACATTATATAGTAACAAAAAATGAGGAGTTAATTGTAAGAATTATTTATTAAATCGTTTAATAAATTGATCTTGTTAATATATAGTTTATCATTTTAATAATGTTAGTTTAATTAATATCTATATTTATTTCTAAAATGTTATATAATTATTGCTAAAGAGCAAAAGCTATTATATGAATATATATATATATATATGTGTGTGTGTAATATTATTATATTAAATTTTATACATATACTTTTTGACAGTCTTGAAGTAGGAATATGCATTATCTGCAGTGGGATTTGATTAGAATAACGAAATCGTCTTTATCGACTGAACAGCGATTGTAACTAGTTCGATATTTGATTTCACTAGAGGCCCGCATCATGTCCAAAGCGGAAGTGATGGAAAGTGATGTCAAAAGACTAGTATGGTGGACTAGTTAACACGCTTTCAAAATGAGTTCGAGCGATGAGGAAACTGACATGGAATTTTCGTTTATTAGAGAGAACAGCATAAGTCAGCAGGAGAAAGTGAAGGCATTCTGGAAGTTTCTGGATGCTCAGAATTGTTTGCAACCGCAAAAAGGTAACGAAAAATATGAATTTATGTTATCAATTCGCTATGAATATTTTTCTTTCATTTTACTACGAAATCTTACACTTCTTATAAGATATGTTTGTTAATATTATAATATAGTATTAATTATATTATCAGCATGTTTATTGTGTATAATAATGTTGTAACATAATAAAAAAAGAATAAGTTAGAATAATATCACAAATTAAATTAAAAATTCATACTTTTATGTCCCAAAAACCATGGCACATAAAATCACTTAAGTTGTACACAGCACAGAAGTTTGTAGCAACATTGCTGCAATGTTGCTGGAATGATATTCTATGCTGTATAAGACATAATAATTGATCATCAATTTAACAATGATACTAATAAGCATTTTAAAACACTGCATAGAATTAATTTTATTTTTATTAAATTACATAAAAAATAAAATTCTATAAAAGTAATCAATATCGAGAATTTGATTGAGATAATACTTTGATGCAAAGGAATATTGGAGCGTAAATCGCCATCGAAAACGGAATCGTCGGTATCAAGCGTGGAGGAACTTATGAAGGAGAAGAATATTTGGCGCAAAGGATTACAAGTCTTCCAACAACTCGGTCTAGATAAAACCGCTCTCGCAGCTGGTTACAGATGTGGACTCTGCAGTTTTGTTCATAAAACAAAATTCCAGTATGGTTAGCAGAACGAGTCGATAGAACGTTAGATAAATCAGTACTTTTCCCGATAATCATAGATGCGAAGATCTGGCCGACACGGTGACACAGCCATATGAAGAATTGAACGCTGACATAAAAGCCTTCGAGCAGCGTCAGAAAAACCGCGACTTGATCCTTACTCAGCGCGAAGTGTTTTGTGCTGTCGACAAATCAAATTGCAACTCCAGTGTAAAAACAAAAAAATGATCTAATTTGAGTGACTGATACTTTAGGGCGGTCTTTTTTCAATTCGCGAACCGCAACGTTTCCAATCGATTTCTAAAAGTTCAAATTTATTAATTTAACAAATTGCATGTTTATTTATGAAAATAGTAAATCAATTTTTTATCTCTCTAGGAATGTTTTATTTTATATTATATATGTATATAAATAAAGTAATAATAACATTCAGCTCGGCAAGACGGAGAAGAGTGCACTGTTACTAAAATATGTTGATTCAAAGAGAGCTCGATAAATTTATATAATTCCGCATTAAGAGAAACAGTATTATTACTATAATTGCATAAAATAATTACCAATAGAAGGTCTCTTTTTATAATTATTACTGCTTACAATGTTAATAATAATAATTACATTTATAGTTCTAAATTTATATAAAAAATATAGTTGACACTGAAAGTGATTATATAAATTGTAGAATTAAATTATGATAACTGTAACCATTTTTTTTCTCTAGTATGTTACACATTAAAAAAATTTTTCATTATTAGTATTGGTATTGATATTGATTACAATGATTGATATTGATAAACAATAAGTGTCTCTTTTTTATTAATTTTATATTTATTAGTTTCTTATTTATATGAAAGAGGGAAAAAGGAAACAAAAATGCTCTCAGCTAAACACGTTGTCTTAGAGAAAGCGTGTAAAAGAGCTGAAATTTAAGAAATTTGAGTCAATAATATGTGGATGATATAACAGACGTATAAAAAAATGCTTTGGTGACACAATGATCGCACCGACCGCGCGCTTTTGAACTGCCGTCGAAGACAGCGATACCAATCGACGTAATCGATGGCAGGAGAATTACAGCGTTTATAATGCCACACGAGGGCCAGCTTTCGACGGAGGTTGCCGGTCGTTTAATGGAATTGGAACGGGCCGGAATATGGATGAGTAGGGTAGCGCACATCCCGAGAGGTACCGCGGTGGTGTATCGGATTTCCTTAGTCCAGGAGGTCGACGTTGTTTTGAGCAAGGTGCGCCGCCACGGGAGCTATCCATGAATGGACCGGCGGATTCTGAATCCTTACGCGACATCTGGTCTCCTGGGCCGACGACATCGTCTTCTTATTGTTAGCCGTTTGTACAAGCGGGATACTTTGCGCCAATCAAGAATATCGCTCGATTTCCTTCAGGTATTCTACGATTGAGAGGCAATCCGTCTTTTTTTGAATTTTAAGGACATTGATTTAAATCGAATTTGCTCGATAAGTTCTCAAAGAAGCTAATTCAACTACTAGATTTTTCAAGTTGTCACATCTCAGTGCTGTTTTTAAAATGATATTACAGAAAAAACCCAACGTATATATATTGATATTATAAAATTGTTAAATAAAATATAATATCTTTTCTGATTTTACGATTGAATCGCTGTTGAAAAACTCCAATAACAATGTTCACCTATAAAAGTATAATATTCTACTTTATTTTATTTTATTTATTACGTAATTCATACGCGTGCGAGTTATATAATTATAATTGGCATCGAACATAGGTGGCAAAAATTTATTTAGTTTCATGCAAATATATCGCTCGATATCTATATACATATGTTTTATAAGAAGCAGCAATGGCTGCGTTTTAGAATATTTATTTTGCAACTATTGGAAGCTTTCTTCGCTGAGATAGAAATTTAGATCCTATTTCTTTAGATCTAAAAGTACAATTTAAACAGAGCAAAGAAAGTTCCAACAGTTGTAAAATAAACATTCTTCTGAACGCGGTTAATGATTATCATTTTGTTACATTTTCGTTACATTTGAAAATTAGATAGAAGCACATTGTAACTACCCTTCGGAGCAAAGCCGGAAGTCCAGTCAAGTTCGATCAAGTTATAGTTATCAACTGCGTCAGCATTATCTTCCACGGACAATAATCACAGGCGATCGTTTGTGCGTCGCAGGGGACTTCCGTTTCGCTTCGATCTTACGTTCTCCTTTTTTTTCTTGCTCGTGCCATTACGCGCGGACCATTTGTCTCCCGTGGAACGAACGGTCCATTGTCTCGTAAGTTTTTCGATCGAGGACCACGCCGGAAATCAGCCATCGAAACCGCGCCCTTATGTCCGCACGCACATACACACACACACACACACACACACACACACACACACACACATGTGTATCTGTAATCTTATAAAAGTGATCCGATAACTATTTCGGTCGAGACGATCCCCCGAAATAGTCCTTATCACCAAAGCTCGTGTAAATAACATAATATACTCTTGGATATATAGGATATAAATTATAACGGAAGACTGGAATTGGCACATCGTCGGTTTCTGGAGCAATTATTTACGCGGGCTAAATGGGACATGTGCTTAGCCGTCGTTAGCGAGTTACATACACAACGGACAAATCTAATTCTCGATGATTCCTATACGTGGAATCATATGAGACGTTATATCCAAATATAACGTCGAGAATCTCGCAGTTAATCAAGTTTGAAGTTATTGGAACACTACGCCAATATTGCATGACTCGCAGGCGATCTTAGCAAGATATTATTTCGTTTGGAAGGAAATATAGGAAAATAAGAGAGAAATATGATACTCATAAAATCACATAATTTACACTAATTTAAAAATTGTTATAATGAAAGGAGAAAACAGGAATGTGAAAAGAATACAAAGGATAAACGTGGAAATTAAAAACAACATGAAGAAATGTCCTCTTGTATCAAAGTTGTAGATATAAAGTTAACGTTAGAGAGTATTAAGATTTACTTGTATTAAGTAACCGGAAAAATTCGTTTGATAACGTTTATAACAACAATTTCATAATATAATAATTGATAACGCATGAATTATGTAATATCTTTTATAATAATTAATTGCATTTTAAGTGGTTCGATTATGCTAGCTATATGCTGAACTTTTTTACTCTTTAAATATTTAAAATTTTAAATATTTAAAAAATTATTTTAGAGTAAAAAACGTTCAGCATTCATAAAGTTAATATAACGTAAGTTAGCGTAAGTATACAGTAATAAGCTAATAAATATTTAAAACAGTTAAATAAAAAATGTTTAACACTTACAGAGCTAAATAATTAAAATGCAATTGATAGACGAGCGCGTTATAAATTATGCCACAAAAAAATTGTTATAAAATGCCTTATATATATGTCCCTAACAAACTAATTGTTATAAAAGTATATATGCCTCTAGCAAATAAATTTTTCCGGTTACTTAATATTAGTAATAAAACTTGAAATTCTCTTAGCCACTTGTGATGACCTTCCTGCTTTTTGCGCCAGTTCAGTCGCATAATTTATGCCTTATAGTATATCTATGTTCATATAGTCCTAATATGTCGCACGAGAGTCGTCACTCATCCTGATTCCTCATTCGCGAATGGAGCCGCACCTGGAGCATAATGGACGCGCTGATGGAAGAAGAACAGGCAAGGAAAGCATGAAGGGGGCGAACATACAGAGACAAAAGCACGAAAGGTAAGAGAGCGATCGAGAGGTGGTATAAAAGGAACAGGAGGAACCTGGACGGGTGAAGAGAAAGAAGAAAGGAGGGGAGGGGGAGGGGGAGGGGCAGAAAAAGACAGAGAAAGGAAGAGAGAAGAAGGTGGATGAAGGGAGGAAAAGAAGAGAGTGTAGAGTCCCGTTGACGGAGATTCAACGAAGCAGCGATGTTTAATCGGTGTTGGCCCGCATCAGGTTGATCGAGGACCCCCCAATCGGGTGTTGGAGGACGACGTGGGCCCGTGACGACGACATAGGGAGGTCCGGAGTAGCGCAAGCGGAACCGGGGAGAGGCTGCGCCGTGCCGATCAGGCGAACAATGGAGGCGGGATGCTCATTTGTCTGCGGGCATTGTTGTTCACCCGGCCGGAAACACGAGCCCGTACTCTCCTTTTCCCCTCTCTATCACGCTCTCTGTCTTTGTCTATTTGTGAATCTCTCTCTCTCTCTCTCTCCCCTCTCCCTCTCTTTCTCTCCCCCTCACCGTTCACCATCCGTGCATCCTCCTCATCGACGTCCCCTCTCTCCCGCCGTAGCTTTTTCCAGTACGAAAGTACCGCGATGATTCCGCCAATCGTGTCGCTCGACGTCCGCAGGTCGATGGTGCAAAAATTCGGGATAACCGTTTCCACCATGTTCAACCGCGAGTCGACGCACAATGTTGAATGTGTCGGTCTCGTCCGCTGACTTATCGATCGGCGGAAGCTCGCATTGGGTCCCGCGATGCGTAATTTACGAGAGATTCCTAAGAAGAAGAGATCTTCTCTCTTTTCTTCTGAAAGAATAGGACGGGACCGAGCTGCTTGTCTAGCATCTAATTTGCGCTGTTATAGCACCTAATTTTTCCTTTGGTTTGACAGGTAGATCTGTCTAAATTATCGGATTGCCGAGGGTCGCTAAAGGTCGTTTATTAGTAACCATTATGGGCTACAGTTAGACATATACAATCTATAATCTTAACAAGTTCATTAATTTAAACACAAGGTACGTAAAGTGTGATGATAAAATATTAAAAAATTTAATTGATTTATTATAAATCTTTCGATAAAAGAGATAAACAATGATATTCGTATATATTGATGGAATGATGCAAGCCCTAAGAAATTAATTAACAATCATAGTTTATTATTTTTCTCATATTTAATTGTAATTGGTCAACTTCTTATGGCTTATGACTAATTGCGATCATGGAGTGCTTTCCATAGTGACACAAGTCGAAATAAACGTTGTTCTATTTTTCTTTGTATTTTTCATTCCATGAGTACAAAGACAAGAACGATACCCAAGGATACTCACACCAAGTCAAGAAAAAGTCAAAATGATGTTATTTTGACGTCATGAAAGTCAAAATAATGACTTTTTGTTACAATTTGACTATTTATTGATGTTAAGTTGTATCAAAATAAAGTTATTTTAATTTTCTATTATACAGGGTGGGCCATCTATTGGTACGTTTTTAAAAATGCGATCAAATGAGCATACATTGATATTTTTTATTAATTTTTTTTTTGTTGTGAAGCTAAAAGTATCCGCGTCAAGAATGAAAAACGATTTCGTTCATGTGGCTCCCTCTACTGGCCTTACAGTATGCCATTCGGTCACCCCAATTATTAATGACATTTTGGACTATTGTTTTTCAAAGCTGGAATTGTCTCACACTTTGGGCCACAGCCTCAATATTCTCGGGTGTGCGCACTGTCCGAGCTCTGGGACCACTTCTGTCATCCACTAACATCCCTTTCTCACGAACTTTCCTCACCAATTTGCGTATAGCTCCTTCGGTGCTCCATATTTCTTTTCAAAATTCGTACAGTTTCGGCGACACAGCACTGACTTTGAAAATAAGTTTTTAAAATTTCAAAACGCTCTTCAAGAGAAAACATGTTGTTTCGTGCCGCGGACGGTATGACTAATAAACTGTCAAAATTTCGGGTCTGTAGCTCGTTCGGTGTTGCCATACGACGAAATTCAAAAACGTACCAATAGATGGCCCACCCTATATAGTCTTCCCAGATATCAAAAAGAGTTCAGTCGTATGTTATCAATTTCGATTTCATTTTCAGCAAAAAAGAATTCTTTTTGTGTCTGAAAATGAATTCTAAATTGATGACATAACAACTGCACTCTCTATGCTATCTGGGTTGTGTATTCCTTGGATATTGTCGATTTGTGAGTGTGTTACTAAATAGGAAGCACCCTTTGCAAAACAACATAAACGATAATTATACTTACTAATTGATAGTACTTGCGGTATCGGTGGGCAGAAGGTTGAATTTTATAAGAAGAAGGTCAGCCGGTGAAACGCAAAGGAAACAAAAAGGCGAACGGGAGCGTGTGCGGGAGGATACGAAAATAGAGGGGCAATTTCGCGGACGACCACATCCACCAGCGGTCATCGGAAGGGTCCTCGTTTTACGGCCGTTTCAGATCCGTTCGACCGACAGGAGCCGGCACGAAGAAGAGCAGTCGAAGGATCGCCGCTCCGGCGAGAAAAGAAAAAAAGAGAGAAAAGAATGAGAAAGGGAGAGAGAGAGAGAGAGAGAGAGAGAGAGAGGAGGCCTGGCAGCACCGGCGATTGAATGGCTCTGCCAAATTAACAATG